CGAAACTTCCATGACTTTTGCTTACAAATTATTTATAAAATAATAATGGATATCATGTTCTTTTTCCACCCTTTCTTTTTAAGTTTTATGAGCCAATAACCCAAACCATAAACATAATTTCACTTTCACTGGAGGGGAGGACTCTCCTTCTCATACATTCATGGCCACACACAGAGCCTGATAGATACTGAACACACACACACACACACACACACACACACACACACACACACACACACGCACATGCACACACACAATCAGCCTCGCTCTGTGAACCATTATCATTACCAGGTGTTGAAAAGAAGAGATATCATTGCTAGTGATTCATCAATCAGCACCGCTCCCTTCGTGTCCTCCTCCTGTTGCCAGAAGTTCTTTGAAAAAATAAAACGAAGTAAAACATTTTTGACCACCTGTGTGCTTTTGCTTTATATGGCCAGGACACATTTTTCACTTTTACAAAACAGTTTGAGGAAAAATATGAGTTTTTGTTCCAGGAACTGGCCGCTAACACGTCTTTGTCATGTAATTGCTTTGATATGCTATACTTGGGGTTGGGAGGGTTAGTTTAACAATATATCAGGTTACAGTTACAAGCAACCTGGAACACTTATCTTATCTGACTATCACAATATGAAAGTAAATGATTACTTTCCGTTACTTTGGATGACCTCAAAAGTCAAATGCAATGCAAATAACAGACAAAAGAAAAAGTGTATTAAGTAAGACAACATAAAAATGTGACATTGAATGAAACCAAGATATTTGGGTTTAAAAGTGATTTTATCTGTAGGAAAACCTGAAATGGAAAAAAGTGAGATTTTTTGGAAAAAATTGATAATTTTGAAAAATGTCAGGAATTTGAAAAAGTGAGATTTTGGAAAATAAATAGTCGAAAATTAGAAAAACATTCAAACACTTTCAGTTAGAATTGAGAAAAATGTCGGGAATTTGTAAAAAAGTGATATTTTGTAGAAAAAAAGTGAGATTTTGTAAAAAAAATTAGAATTAGGAAAAAAGTTGGGAATTTGAAAGAGAGAGCGTTTGGAGAAAAAATGGTCAAAAATGAGAACAACAGTTAAACATGTTCAGTTAGAATTTTGAAAAAAGTCAGGAGTTTGAAAAAAGTCAGATTTCGTCAAATAAGTCAGACATTTTGGGAGAAAATATGAAAACATTTTAGAAAAAATTTGACTTTTGAAAAACTATCGGCATTTGGAAAAAAGTTTGAATTATGAAAAATTTCAGATCTTGTGAAATAAATCTGAATTTGGGAATAAAAAAGAAGATGATTAGGGACCCGTGTTAATAAAAAATGTCAAAATTAAGATTTCGTAAAGCAGATTCAGGAAGTAGAGGTATAGATTCACACTTTAAGCATTAGCATACAGAACAGCTGACAGAGAAGAGATAACATCTGATCCTTTACAACAAACACTAAATGCTCTTTTTAGGGTTTTAATAACACTTTAATCTGAAACAGGATTCAGATTTTTTGTATTTAACTTTAAGGAAATACTTTTTTTGTTTCCTAATTATCCTGTTACAAGTTATCAATAACTCCTCCCACGCCTGCTGAATTAAAAACATAACTTTTTATAATAAGTGAGATTTCTGAAAAAAGGGAGAATTATGAAAAACATCAGGAATTTCATATATATTGTGAAAGTATTATATATGTAACACAACCTTTGCTCACATTTCTAGCAGTTTACTCAAACGTTGGCACATCTGGACAAATTAAAAACTTCTGCTTCATCATATTACAGTCCACATGTGGAGGGTCAGTATGAAACCTGAAGCAGAGACAGGAAACGACCGAGTTAAGGTAACGCAACATTTTATGGGTAAGAGGAAACAGATCATGGCATCTGATACCCGGCCATTACTTATGAATGGGGAAAAGAACTACGGAAATAAATTGAACAGAGAAAAAATTCAATGATTTTCCGCAGGTTTTCTTACAGACTGTGGAACAAAGGCAGGTTAGCAGTCGTATCAGGGATGCAAACAAACACCAATATATTCATCAGTTTTTAGGACATTTTGTCAAAACTATCCAAATGTTTGGCACAAATACTTAACTCATATTATTGTCTGTACATTATTTTTGCGTTCTCTATTTACCGTAGGTTTGGTCTGCTCTAGGACTCTTCCACAGTGCTTTATTATGTGTTGGTTCTTCCAGTTAAAGCGTAATTGCTTTTACTTAGCATAGCGTCGCCAGCTGTATCAACCATTACTTGCCGAAGAAACCGTTTTTGAGTTTTAAAATGAACTGTTATTACGTAATAATAGTCGAGAAACTAACTATTTAGATTACCAATATGTTATTACTTTATCTAAAAAAGGTATATTTGAGAATTTTCAGCGATGTTTTGAGCTGTGAGGCTAGCTAGATAGCCAACATCTGCTAGCTAGCTTGTTAACACGAATGGTAGCTAAGGTAAGCTAACTAACAGCCTAAATTGAAAGCAAAAGTTAGCTAGCTTGTTAGAGTTGTAGCTAAGGTAAGCTAACTAACAACGTAGATAGAAAAAGCAAATCATAGCTAGCTTGTTAGAGTGGTAGCTAAGGTAAGCTAACTAACAACGTAGATAGAAAGCAAACCTTCGCTAGCTTGTTAGAGTGGTAGCTAAGGTAAGCTAACTAACAACGTAGAAAGAAAGCAAACGTTAGCTAGCTTGTTAGATTGGTAGCTAAGGTAAGCTAACTAAGAACGTAGATAGAAAGCAAACCTTAGCTAACTTGTTAGAGTGGTAGCTAAGGTAAGCTAACTAAAAACGTAGATAGAAAGAAAACATTAGCTAGCTTATTTAGAGTTGTAGCTAAGGTAAGCTAACTAACAACGTAGAAGAAAAAAAGAAAAAAGCTGTTTACAGTGATAGACAGATAGATAGATATATAGATAGCTAACATTCGCTAGGTAGCGAAAGTTTGCTAGGTAGCTGAGAATGATCTCTGATAAAAACTCATTGTTTACAACGCTGCTAATGCTAAACCGGAAGAGGGACAAGGCACATAAAGTGAATAAAACTGTAATATTTTAACATTATTTAAATCGAGGCTTGAAACGTTTCTGCACACTTCTCTTTCCTGCACTTAGAATCTATCTCCGGAAGAATATAGAAATCTATAAGATGTTTTAAATGTTCTCTAAGGCTTTGCAGGTGTTTGATCAATCAACCAAACTTTATATATACCTTTTTTTATACGGACACTAACACAAAGTGCTCCACAAACCATCAACATGAAGCAATCCAAACCCTCCCAGTCTATATCATATCGGCATATAATGTGTTTTTCTAAATGTATTTGCAAGTGATAAAAGCAGAATATTTAAATGGTCTCTAATATTATGTTCATAAAGTAAACTAGCGCTTTTTACTTTAGAAACTTTATGTACATTTAGCTTAAGATAAGTAGAGTATTTTTAGACTGAGGTACTTCTACTTTAACCTGAGTAAAGGATCTGAGTACTTCTTCTGCCATCTCTGGTATTTAGTGACCATGCCAAATTCAAGCTGTGAATCACTCAGTGGGAAATAAATCTGTATAACATTCGGAAACGCCGAGCAGCGAAACAGACATTTATTTATACAAAAATGTTTTGGATGATTTATTTTCTGTCTGTTTCACTCTGGCCAGGCAACGCTTCACTGGTGTATTTATCATAGTCAGCATATAGAGGAACAGGAGACTCACACACACACACACACACACACACACACACACACACACACACACACACACACACACACACACACACACACACACACACACACGACGCATGCATATACTAAGATCTGACAAACCCATTGGTAATAAGGAAGAAAAATGTGGCATTTATTGATCTGAGGGGGGAATATAAGGCCTATTATTACCTTTATGATCATAAACCTAACCCTTGGGTATTTTTTACGCATTGCATCCTAACAACTTGTGTCGGCACGATGATTTTTTTCCTCACACACACACACACACACACACACACACACACACACACACACACACACACACACACACACACACACACACACACACTTACATCTCGGAGGCACCGGGACCCACCCTCTCTGTAGGTTGGCTTACACCTAAAGTTAATCTAGAAAGAAGTGTAGACATAATTAAACAAATAAAACATTAAATATTGACACAAAACACCCAAATAAATGAGTTTTATAAAAAGAAAAGAAATTGAGTACCAGTATGGAATAATAGAATTAAACAGCTGAAAAACAGTCAGTCAAAAAAGTGCTTTAGCTGCGGCCTACATATTGATTAACAGAAATAAAAGGTGCAGAAATCATTCTTCTTTCTTTACCTTTCTATGTTTCAATGAAATGATAATGTGTCTGCTTTAAAAATGAAAATATTTTGTGTGTGTGTGTCATACCTTTTCTAGTTGCTCTATGCAGCCCGAGTGAACTACAATCTTACAGGCAGCACATTTCTTCCTGGGGGCCGACTTCTTAAGGAGAAAAAACACACACAGCACAGAGGTCGGTGAGACACACACACACACACACACAGACACACAAGATCACAACATGTTATATATGATACGAGATATTTTCTGTTAAATCGTGAAACGTTCTATGAAGTACACCATTTTTATTTAGNGCACACAGCTGGGAGACCAGGGGACACTAAAGAGTGACGCACACAGCTGGGAGACCAGGGGACACTAAAGAGTGACGCACACTGCTGCGAGACCAGAGGTCCTCTGGTCTCGCAGCAGTGTGCGTCACTCTTTAGTGTCCCCTGGTCTCCCAGCTGTGTGCGTCACTCTTTAGTGTCCCCTGGTCTCCCAGCTGTGTGCGTCACTCTT